GCCATTCTGTCGAAGCTGAGAGTTTCATTCATTCAAACCTTGACGACACATGTTACGGTGCCATTCCCATCGGCTTTATGCGACATAACTTTAAATTTTTGAAAGTTACAATTTCATTCGTTACGACTGCAGAGAAATACAACTATCAGACAAAAATTAAGCAGGTATTCTGATGAAACGAAAGCTCAGCAAGTTTCAGGACATGTGACCAGAGCAGTACGAGAGATTTTTTGTAGAAGAGTAGGTAGAATTCTTGTCAGCCAAATGTCTTTCTCAATTTCGTGTGGTTATTTTTTCATGCTTCTTAACTGTTCGTAATTTTTTCTCATGATACTGCACACATCAGTCACATGACTGGGATACAGAGTTGCGTGGATGTAGCAAATGAAAGTTAACTGTCATACTTGCATCGATGCGAATGTTCATGATAAAAACAATGAACCAGCGAACAACAAATTAATATGATGAAAAAATTTAGAATCTAAATTGCAAGCAATTTAGAAGCGGCAAACTTATGACGAAACAGCCATAATAAACCTGGAAACAAAGGAAGAATCAATTCATATTAACAACAATTTAACCACAGCTTCACCATGAACCTTTCTTCAGCTGCTCCCAGTCATTCAATCAAACGTCCATAACTAATTGCGGTATCAACCGTTCTACGACCAAGTGTTAGTGAATAGTATGTGATAAATCATGGCTCCCTAAAGCCCCAGAATTAGGTACCACAAGATTTTTATGGTATGCCGGGACAACACTCAAACACTACTGAGTCAAGGAGCTGTTAGTGATGTCTTTGCCATAGTGCCTTGTTCGAGACTTTTCAGCACAAACGACAGATCTGGACGCTGTGCAAGTTCCAGGCGTATGCACTGACAGCCGACGTTTGTAAGAACGGAAAATATGTCTTTACCATCGTCCGTTTCAACCAGTCGCTGGTCCGTCAAATGTTCCAGAGTTCCGTGGATCATTTTTTCACGCGCAACTAATTTGGCCAGATTTTCATATTTTTTTGACGCCGAATGAGCAGGCAAACCCGTAGCCACTTCCAGAAGTACCTAAAATTCCAGCCAAGTCATAAGTAATACTGTGGAGCAATAACTAATTGTAATTTTTAACATAAACTAAAAAAGAACAGATACAAGCAAATACTTGAAAGGTGATAAACGTTTTTAATACAACGTCAGCTAAAGACGGTTCAAAGCATGCACAAAATCACTATTTGAATTGATGGCCAGTAGAGAAAGAAATAATATTCCCGCTGCAAGACAGCATTATCAGTTAAAGAAGATATCGTAGTTAAAACAGTAAAAACAAGCGGGCAATAAAATGAACAAAGTTAAACGAAAGTTTAAGTTTAACGAAACAATAAAAGGAAAAACCATAATGTCAAAAAATAAGAAAAAATTAAAATTAAACTGTCACATAGAACAAAAGGGACAAAGAAAATAAATGGAAAAATTAAATGAGGGGGCAAATTACATATTAGAGACTAAATTGTTTGTACATTAGGGATAACTTTGAAAAGTAAAAATTTATAAAAACGGTCACACACTATGAAGAAGAAGAACCCTCCCTCTTATTAAAGTCAGAAAAAACGCGAAAAGACCTCGTGGATCGCACAACACGCAGCAGAAAACGGTCACGATATCCAATAGTTAGAGTGCGCGGGAAACGTTAAAGAAAGAGGCTCAACAGACGTATCAAAAAAGCCGTAATTATCCAATCCCGCGAACATGTCAAGCGTCACAAACCACCCAAACACTACGGGAATGGATCAAGTTCTATCAAGCTCGTGATCGAAAAACTATTTAATGAGCAGCATGGGCTAAAAGCACGCCTTTTGCTGCAAGCGTTGCAACAGATGCGGATACAGAACCAACAGCGGAAATCAGTGCAGATCACTCTGACGAAAGCCCGTGAGAAACGAGCCGAAACGACGGTACTGACCAATCATCCAACTGAAAAACTTATTTGCATTGTGGCATACAAAAACACTGTTTTAACACATTTTCAGTTTTTAAGATTCCAGCTATGAGAATGATCTTCGAAACTAATTTCGACATTGACAAAAACCGCCTGAACGAATCTGATGATACTAGATTCGATTATCAACAAGTGGTTAAAAATGTTGTCACAGTCTAAGACTTTCAAGCCGATTCTGCCAGTCGTTTGCAGATTTTAATGCAATGTCATGAGATCGTCTGTGGGCAAGGTCTTTCGATATTATGACGATAGGCACAAAGAAACTTTGACGACAAAAATGCTCGGAGCGTTCAATACACACAGTAATGACTTTGGTCAGTGAAATTCTGTAATTTTTTTTATTTCCAGTGTCTACATCGTCGGGAATTCTTTTGGCAGAGAGAATTTTTGCTTACCACTCCAAAACTGTACACATCCAGTTTGGTAGAAATAAGCTTCTTGGCAATATACTCAGGCGGGAGATACGACATCGTACCCTTGATATGACCGACGGACACGCTAGACAGCCAGGTGTCAGGTTTCTGCAGGTTAATCCTGCGGCACAATCCAAAATCGCCGATTTTCGGTTCGAGATACCTGTCCAGCAGGATGTTGGCACCTTTCACGTCACCATGTACTAACGGCTCCGTCTTGAACGTGTGCAGATAGTTGAGACCACGGCAGGAGCCGATCATAATATGCAGACGTTGATCCCATGTCAACGGCTTGTACGACTAAAACCATTAACCATTTCCAGTATATCGTAGTTCGAAGAAACGTCATACGTACCGTACCGAAGAGGCGATCGTTCAAAGAACCGCCATGCATGAACTGATACACCAAGCACGCTTCAGTGTTTTCCAAGCAAAACGCGTACAGAGACAATATGTTGTCGTGACGGTAGACTGACAACGCCTTCATCTCGGTTTCCACCTGGCCGATAATCTCCTTCATATAATCGACGCTACGGCGGAAACTGATTCGCTTGATGGCCACGATGGTCTCCTTCCACAGTCCCTTGTACACCGTTCCGTAGCCGCCTCGACCGATGATATTTGTCTGCGAAAAGTTGTTTGTCGCCGCTCGCAGTTCGTCGAAACTTACAGAAAGTTCGCTGCTCAAATCATCGGTGGAATACTCAGCTCTAGATTCATGGCTTTCCGCATGAGGTTCAATTGGAGGCTGCAATGACAAGTCATCGACATCGTCACTGGGCTGCGTAGAGACGGGTAAAATATTCGGGTCATTTTGGCAATTATTAGACGATTCATCAGTAGGTTCACGGTCCTCCGCAACTACTAAATGGTGAATAAAAAACTATACACTTCATATTCTCCAACGCAAAATGATCGATTTCAAGTGATAATCTTAAAAATTTACCAAACCATTTTTTATTATACGTTGCATGATTCTGACACCAACCCGTTAAAGGAAGCGAACGCTAAATGCTTCACGAACATGAACCCTGCTCGACATGCTTCCGGATCCGGGCGAAGAAAAGCGTAATGCAAGTAGAGAACTTCTCCAAAGCTTTTCACCGACTGTCTGACAATAGCACTTAAAAGGGCAAACTAGAACTGAGAAGCAAAGCCAATGAAGAGCAGCTAACGCATCTCAGAATCTCAGAGGTGTTAAAGGAAAAAATACCACACAACTGCATCAAATGTGGACAGAAACACAGTACTCAATACCGATAACAATAATGTCAAGGTCAGACAGAAAATCAGTCGGTCAGATAAGACAAAGTACCTGAGATCATACATTACATAAAGCATAAATAATGGCCAATGGAAAACCTGTAGAAAAAGTAGGGTTAACCTACTTTGGTCAAGAAGCTGACATGCGCCATATCCAAAAGGATAAAAGTAGGCAAGATAGCGCGTGTTCAACTTTATGATGAACATCATACCTGAGAAGACCAGCGCTGCAACACAAATATAATGCCAGTGATGCTGGACAGTAATGAAAAATGGTCGCTGACGGAAGACATCAGCTGCATAATAATGAGATGCCATGCAAAGGAGAATATTGAAGAGTTCACTC